CTGATGCAGGGGTGGGCCTGGGGCTGCCACGTGCGTGCATGGCTGGCACCTCACTGCAGGGGAAACGCGGGACCTGTGCTGCGCCGCGGCAGGCCAGTCGCAGACATCGGGGAGGTAAGATCCGCATGCAACCACTGCTCCCTATCATCCCGAGGCACAAAGATGCAGTACAGAGGCTCAATCTTACCAGGAGTTGGGACTCGTAGTTGACGTAAAATGCGCTGGCCTTCACCAGCTCCTCCTCCAGAGCGGCACGGAACGCCTGTCCCGTCTCTGAACGAGAGGTGACGGGGAGGTGGAATCTTGGCACCATCCTTTAGACTGTGAAGCGCAGACACCATTCCAAGCGCAGAACCTTACATTCCGCGGGGTCTGTCAGTGTGCAAAATGCACTCCCCCTGTCTCCTCCATCCCGGACAAAAGCTACAGCGACCTTGAGATGGAAACACCACCCAATTCTCAGCAGAGCCACAGCTCTGCAACTCACTGGGTCCAAAGACAGCGACGTCCTGGTTGATGGCATGCTTGAGGCCCTTGTAGTCAATGTATGCCTCCGGCCAGCGCCGTGCTGCCTCCTCATTAAGCCTCTTTCCGAACTGTGCGTGCGATGGGAGTGCGCCGAGGGTGGGAAGGGAGCCCAATCAGGGCCCAGCACGAGGGGAGGCCAAAGTTCCGCTCAAGCAGCCGGTTCCCCTTGTCCCACCTTCATCTCTTGCACGCCCAGAGTAGCCTATGTCACGACACAAATATCTGTGGGACTAGTTTGATGGCCCCAGCATGCTGGGCTGGACCTAGACGCACAGTCAACAGCACAGAGTGGGGACCCGAAGTTGAACGTGGGCTCGCGGAGGTGAGGGAAGTCTGAACGCGACTCTCTCCCCGCCGGCAGGCACCAAAAGGAGAAAGGAAGCGAAAGCCAAACACATTGACCCACCCTGGGAGGTGGGGCCAAGGTTTGAGGGCCAGAAAGATGCCGTAGGGTGTCGCAATGTCCGGCAGGATATGCGAACGTCCATGGCCAGATTCCGTAGCGGTACCGTGTGGTACCTTGGGTGGGCCTTTTGCGCTCTGGATTTCAGGGCAACGATCCATCGCGACGGAATATGTATATTGACGCGGTGGCCCTCCCAGAAAACTTGGTCGTGAGCGGAATACCTGTGTACGAAGGTCAATGTGATGTGAGCATGGGCAAGACCTCCACCAGGAAGCCGTATCAGTTGTGTCGCCTTCCCGACACGAGTTCCGGGCCCGGTGGACCCACGGCATCCTTCCGACGCACGTCGCGCACCCTAGTGCGTGTCGCTGAGCCTATTGCATCCCTCGCAGGAATAAGTGCTGACCCTGCAGCAAGCTCTCGGCTAGACGCCAGTGGTCGAAATCAGACACCTGTTGGTCCCTCGTCCTCCAGGGCTGTTCCAGCACCTGGTCCTCCTATAAACCCCGCGACGAACATTTCCAACCCCATTCTGAAGCGCGTGGGAAAGTTCAAGCTCGCCTCTGCCCCAGTCCTGGATGCAAGACCTGTGCAGGCCGTTGCCCATGTCAGGAGGCCTGATGCTACACCCCCCAAGGGCCAGGCCTCGCCTCCCCCTGGCGGGGCGAGGAACCAGCTGACATGGCGGCGCACCGTGCCCAAGACTCCCGAGGCACCCCGGGCTCTGGCACTGAGAGCCAGGTTGCAAAAGCTCAAGTGGCGGAGGGAGGAAGGGGCCACGCCCCCTCAGCGCTGCCACAGCCTCAAGTGGCGACGCACCTCTGGCGCTCCCAGCCCTGCCCTCCCGGTAGCAGGGGCGCCCGCCGAGTCGGGGCCCGCCACCCCTCTGCCCAGCACCCAGCCGACAAGTGAGCCCCTGGCTGCACGCCGGCGCGCCTTCCTCGCGCTGCGCATGACGCCGCGGCGCCTGCCCACAACCCGCTCGGCGAGGCGGGCGGTGCAGCAGCGCACGCCCGTGTACTGCCCCGAGTACTGCAGGACGGGGTCCTGTCCGCGGCGGGGCAGGGGGTGCAGCCTGCGGCACGACCCCACCAAGCGCGCCGTCTGCGCCCGGTGGCTGGCGGGCAGCTGCCCGCTGGGTCCCACCTGTCCCCTCCAGCACCAGCGGGTGGCCGAGCTCATGCCCCTCTGCATCCATTTCATCAAGGTGCCGTGGGGTCTCCATGCCTGGGATTCCCTGGGAATGCACGACATGTGGCATGCACCGCGGGAGGGAGCGCCCTGTTTTAGTCGTACAATGAGGGGTGGTATGTGTGTCCCCTCATGCCTCTCACTGGATGGAGGGTTGCTTTGCCCCGGTGTGGCTGCCCATGTACAAAGCGGGGCAGCCTCGGGTGGATCAGTGCACCCCAACATCGCACTTTGATCTTGCCAGGCCCCTCCTCAGTGCTCCTCCCCTCAGCCCTTGCAGCTCATCTTTCCCCTTCGGGACCACCAACCCCTCCCAACACCCTCACAGGGTTCCTGCGCGAATGGAAACTGCCCGTACCTGCACGTCAAACTCGTGGCCACCGCTCCGGTGTGCGCACGCTTTCTCAAAGGGTACTGCCCAGCCGGGGCGCGGTGCCCGCACCGTCATCTCACGCTGCGCATGCTGCGCGAAGAGCGCAGGCTGACGGCGCCCCTCCAATTGAAGGCATCATTTGGGCGGGATGGGAGAGGGGTGTGGGCTTTTTTGAAGGGGGGGTGGAGGATCCTCAGGACCTGTGTGGGATGAGTCTAGCTGAGCACTGTTCCCCCCTTGGTTGGGACACATGCAGATTTAGACTTGTTCTTGCGCCTGGCTGGAGTGGCCTCACTCGCGCTGTGCATCACAGATTGTTGCACCACGCCCCTCTGCAGAAGCGGCAGCGTGATGAGCGGGCCAAGAGGGGCCTGCGTGACGCAGACTTCCTCCAGCTTATGGGTGCGGATGGGTGCAGTGCGGGTTCTGCAGGTCCGCCTCAGGACCAGAGTCAAGAGCTTGCCCTTGAAGATGTTGCTGGACCAGCCGATGACGCTGACTACATTGCTCTTTAACTGTTTCTCTATGTTGTTCGTCTCCATTCTGTTTCCAAGTACCATCATTACAATTTCCAATTCAGTTTGCAATCATACATATTTGAATCTGTATTACAGAGTAGCAAGGAAAAATGCCGAAACAGTGTTGGATGGTCAAAAATTGCTGAGTGGCAGCACCTGCATTGTGGAGTGGAGGGGAAGGGGGTTGATGAGGAATGATGTACCGCTGCACATTGAAAGGATGGAGTCCAAAGTTTTGATGGTAGCAAGACAAGAGAGGGGACTGGTGTTGCCGTCAGACATCCAAGGAAGGATAAAGCCGCAGCAGCTCTCAAGCCTGGCGAGGCGAAAGCTCTAGATCGGGCACTGCGAATGTTTTGAGAAACGCCCTAGGAAATTGTCATCCTCGGCGAACACCAGTTTGAGAAAACAGATCAGGAGAAGTAGGTCAAGTGGGGGAATAGCACAAGAATAAGTCCACAAAGCTGTAACAAGCGCGCCTCAGACTGCAGCCTGTGCTGCGCCATCCGCACAAGCCGGGTGCGGCCAGGGAGAGGCGGGTTCTCCCTGAACGAGCAGGGTGCCCCTCCACAGGTCGCGGCAACGCGCATGCTGGCTATTTTCCATCCTCGGCAGGGAACGGCGGTTGCGTGAAGCCATGGCAGTCAACGAAAGAAAGGGTGAAAGGGTGGTCTGGAAGTTGCATTCAATCCCAGGAAACAACGAAACAACAGGACCGACACACACCTTAGGTATGCCTCTCAGGCCCTAGTGCAAAATTGTACATTACGCAGGCTCGTTTGTGTGAGAGACCAGGCCTCCAGTGCGGCAGTTAGAGCTCTTTGCATTTCCAGAGCTGCTGTCTGCGCGGGGATTGGGAACAGAAGGGGTCAGACAAACTGGAATGCACAAGACAACAAATGGTATGGGGTCCTTGGTGCAGAGCTCAGGCGTATGCCAATTCATCCCAAAGGTCAGAAATTGGAGGCAGGAAACCTCATAGAGCTACATCATCAATGCTCTGGGCACTAAGAACAAGGAGGAGTAATCAAGACACTGGAAAGCCTCAGAATGGGCTGCATCCCTCATCAACAAGATCAGAGGATGGAAGCAGGAAAGCTCCTACAGCCAGATGTCATCATAGGTAGAAGTAAAATGGGGGGAAAACAATACGTAAACAGGAGTCTCAGACACAGCTGCGCGATTCATCCATCCCCGAAGGAATCAGAGAGAGGAAGCAGGAAAGCTCCAGCAGCAGAAAGCGTCATCAAGGACAGAGGAGGCAAATGTGCATGCAAGTATTAAGCAGCGTGATTCAGATGGATGTGTGTCCCTCACAGGAGGGCAGGCGGAAGCAGGAAAGCTCCATGATATCCATGGTGTCATCAGCATCACACTGTTGTGTTGTCTCAAGCACGAAATCAAGGAAACAGACAGATCGAGACTCAGAAGTTGCTGCACAAATCCACACAGATGATTAAGGTAGCGGGAGCAAGAAACATCCCATTGTGATATGCTTTCGTCACAGTCTCACGAGTCGAGATCATTCAAAGGGGAGGAGGCCAATGGAGCTCAGACAGAAGTGCCATCAGACTTCAAACACACGAACGTGCAGAAGAGGTAGAGGGCAGGAAAGCCCCTGGGCACATTTCATCATTGCCAAGTGTGCGAAGCCACTAGGAAAGCCAAGAGTGATGTCTCAGAGATTGCCGCAAACATGCTGCATCAAGTACGCAGCCGATGGGTGGCAGGAAAGCCCCCAGGCGAGGATCTTCACTGACAGCTGATACTTTTGAAAAGGCAAGACGCAGGAGATAGGACAAAGGAGGGATGTGGAACCATCCAGCATTGCTCAGTGGAAGAAGAAGTCGTTTTTCATTTGAGTGTGTAATCAAGGAGTGGGTTATCAGCCCGTTCAGAAACAGCCTCAAGGATGTCGTCCTCGCAATGCAAGCTGTGTATTGAGATGGTTCCACGAAGAAAGCGGAGTACAAGAGTCGTATTGGAGGAAAGGAATGCTTGCACTTCATCCCAGACCAAGATACACCCAGGGATGGACCTCGCAGACCCATTCACCTGATGATGGCCGACACCATTCTGTCTTGACTTCAAAGGGAAAAGGCGATGACGCCATTACTGAGCATCGAAAGGGTGTCCACGACCTCCAAAGTGTTCCTGAGGGTTATGGATACATGGGATTGATGAGAAGTGACCTTCCCATCAATTCACACAAGGGGTGCAAGCACTGAGGGTGCGGATGTACGAGCATAGAAGCAACCCCCCCTGCACTGAAGGAGCAAGATGGGGCACAGCCTCTTGCCCACTTGCTCTTGCTATGTGATTTATGTTGAGCCAGGGGCATGGGCAGCCCAAGGCTCGACCGTCATCATAGCGGGCATGGGATGGGATCGCATGAGGGCGTGGATCCACCAGCACAACAAGCTACTCACCAACAGACGCAGGCTGGGGTGCAGGCCCAAGCTCCAGGGCTGGCAGTACCACCAAGCCCATCCTCCAACAGCCCGTCCTCACGGAAATGGCCGCAGGCCTCTCTCGAGAAATTGCTGTGCAGGCTGTGAGGAAAGCAGCAGGAAAAGGTGTGAGTGCAACCGTCAATGTGCTGGCAGGTCGTGGCCTGGAAGTAAAATGCATGTGTGGGAATGCTGCGGAAGGGAATTATCCGAAAACGACGTCCCGCGAGGGCACAAGGAGCCTGCCGGCGGGATAGCGTGTCTCCGGGTCGACAGCTGTTGATGCCTTGATCATAACACCTCACAGCCTCATCAGTCTGGCTTCTGGGAACGGACCCACTCGCATGGAAGGCGAGTGGCTCAACTTAGTAGAAGCAGCCCAGGGCAGTGGAAAATGGCAACAGAGGCAAAACAGATCAAGAGGTGTGAGGGAAAAGCAGGTGTCTTTGGAGGGCAACAACTGAGATCTCAGTGAAACAGGGCATTACGCCGTGGAGCTCAAAGTGTGTGCTCAGAAATCGAGAACTTTATCGTCAATGCCGGTATCTAGCCGGATCAGAAACTCTAGTCCAATTCTCAATTCATCCATGCAACACACAGGGTGCCACGAGGGCAGCAGGCAAGAAGGGGTTGGGACACCAAAAGGGACGGAGGACAGACCAACACGTACCCTGAGATGGAGGCATCAATGGCGCTTGGTTTGCCTGAGGGACAGCATCTGCTGGTCCACACAAACGTCTAGAATGTCATCTGCGCAGGAGGAGTGGACGGGGGGTCAGCGGATGTGAGAAGGGCATTTGGAACTCAAGAGAAAGCGCGGCAGAACAAGGGAGGGAGCGTGAAGAGTGGATCAGGGAGTCAGATCTCTGCATGAGACAAGCTCAATCAGAAACACGGACCATGTGTATAAAATTGTGTCGTCACATCCACTCGGGGCCAGATGCTCAGAGGCGGGAGGCCGGGCAGCCATCGGCCGGCATGCCAAAAGAAAAGAAAAGGGTCGCTCAGAATATAAACGTGTTGAGAACCTATATCCTCTTCATATGGGATCGGAATGAGCTGGGAAGGCATTCATCATCACGACCGGGCAGGCATGCATATGGGAAACAGACAAAGGAGTGGCGTCGGGGTCAGAAGCCAACTGGCTGAGTCGATCGTCATCGCTGTTACCCTGGCTGCGGGTACTAGGACTGGGGCGACATTCAAGCTCATCACACCCCAAAGATGAAACAGTGCCGTCCAGCCGGGCCCGCCCACACACCTGGTGCTGCACTCCGCAGCCAGTGAATGAGGCCTACATGGTAACAAGTGAGCAGACTACCTGCACACACAGGCAGGTAGTACTGCCGAGTGGGATTGCAATATTGGAGCACGTACGAACAGAAGTGTGAAACGGCTGCTGCTTGCCGCCACTAAGTAGGCTCTCTCGAACATACCAGGGAGGGAGGCGGGGGCCGGAGCCCAGGGACAAATGCAGGCAGGCGCTGCTGAGTTTGACCAGCAGGCGAATGATGATATCCTGACTGGGATTACTTTCGCGCGCACAACCATTGATGTGGCAGGTCGACATCTCCGATGTTGAGTTTCACATGAAGTGACACGAGTCCGAGCCTGCGTGGGCGGATAGCTGCGATGTTCGTGCTTGCAGAGAATTTGCACGGTCAGACCAGCACCATCATGCAGAGTACGCGGCCTGCATCCTGAAGTTCTGCAAGCTCCATCCTATACATGATGACACAGCCCCTTCTGTGCACGCAGATACCTAGCATTCCTCTCCTACTCACCCCCAGGCTGCTACCAATGACGGCGCCATGGATGCCGGTCTGACCCCAGCCCAGGCAGCCGATGCCCTGGGCCTCCCGATGCCAGGCAGCGGCCCCTACACGCCCAACCTCATCCGGCGCCACTACCTCCGGCGGGCTGTGCGGGTGCACCCCGACAAGTGCAGGGATCCGGGGGCCGTCCAGGAGTTCCAGCGGCTTAAGGCAGCCCATGACCTGCTGCTATCCCGAGCCGTCGGCGATGCGCATTCTGCCGCCGAGGCCGCCGCCAGCGCGGACCTGCTTTCCACCTTCCTGCGTGCCATGACCGGGAAGCTGCGTGACGCCTCGCTGGAGGCCGAGCTTGCCTCCCTCGGGGTGTACCGCCCTCCCGAAGCCTTTGGCGTTGACCTGGCCATCAGATTCCAGGGCGCCGATGGTGGGCGAGGTCCAGAGGAGAGCGCGGATGCCAAGGCGGCGCTGCGTGATGTCTTTGCCCAGCAAGGCGTCCCCTGGGAAGAGGAGGAGGGGGGGGCGAAGGCTGGCACGGGCGGTGATGGGCGCGAGGCAAGCAACGAGGATGCAGCGTGGTGAGAGAGGGCCCTGTGTTCTGTCCTCCACGCATTCCCTTTGGGTGCCTGTCCCTCCTGTGCAGCCCTGGCGTTACCTTGCAATTCCACATTCTTTATCTATCGTCAGCCTACTGTTGGTGCTGGATGTTTATTCAGACATGACTGCATGCCATGCCTGCTGTCACTCTCGGAATTGCAGTGAAGCTGTGCTCTGTATCTCACCACAGTGTCAGATTGCCCTCGACTGTGTACACTTGCACTGCCCAGCATCGGATGAGCAGGCTAGAGCTGCGTGGGATAGATGGACTCATCAGGACCTGATCAAGGCAGTCATCACAGTTTGTTCTATCCGTTTACAGGGCCCCTGGGGTCTGCGAAACATGCATGATTGGGAATGCAGGGGGGAGTGTGCATGGGTGGGCATGCGAGAGTGAAGGGGGAGACTGTGGTCCTTCACAAGGGAGCAGCAGCGTAAGATGGATGGGCACGAGGTCATCACTGGGTCGCATAGGGGGCCGAAGGTCTCCGCAGGGGCTGTGGATTGGAGCGGGAGGCAGGGTGCCGTCCCCACCCCCCCTCCCACCCCGCGCTCCCTCTCCACCCATGCTTAACCTCACGCCTTTGCCGCCTTCTCCCCCGCGCCCTGCACGACGCGCGCGTTCCAGTTGAGCCCGTCCCGCACACTCCTGAACCAGTCGTTGCTGGCGTCCAGGTTGCACACCGTGGGCACAGGGAACTGCGAGGCGCGCACCGCCACGCCGTCCCCCGGGGCCAGGAGCACGCGGTGCTTGCCGTCGAAGGAGGCGTATACCCCGGCGCGGGCCTCGCGCGGGACCACGATGGTCAGGGCCACGTGCTCGGGGAAGACTAGGGGGCGGGAGGAGAGGGTGTGGGGGCAGATGGGGGTGAACAGCAGGCAGGGCACCCCCGGGTGCACCATGGACCCCCCCGCCGCCAGATTGTAGGCGGTGGAGCCGGTGGGCGTGGCCACGATCAAGCCGTCGCCCTGGACCACGGTCACAAAGGCGCCGTCCGCGTAAACGTGGAGGTTGGTCAGGCTGGGCGCGGTGCCGCGGTCGATGACCAGCTCGTTCAGCACCATGGAGGGGGGGGGAGGGGCACGCCGCCTCGCCCGCTGCCTCGCGCAACACCGTGCCCTGCGATGCGGTGTTTTTGTTGGTCTTTTTGGGGGCGGGGACGGGTCACAGAGCTTGATGTGAATGTGTGGGGTTGGAGCATCGGCAGCGCATCTGCCTTGTGCCTACTGGGACTGAGTCCGGCCCATGCTTTCCTGGCTCGGGTTCTGAA